TTTATTTACAATTAAAGGTGTATTAAACTGAAATGGCTTTAAAATATTGATTATTAAATTTACATTTGATGCAAGATAATAACTAAACAGCATATATAGTTACTAAATATAATTCGATAAGCAGGCATTTAAAGATAACTTTGAAAAATAAATATGTCAAGTGGCATACTGGACACTTGAAAATAATAATTGAACTGGCACACTAATCGAAAAATGTTCGCCATCCCTGCCTTAGACGAAAACTTCAAAGTTGCCACGATCCCGATGAAAGATTATCTCTTTCTATCACTTTTAGAAAACTTACGGCAGTCTGTATAAAAGCAATTAGCAGTGAAAAATTAGTATCCCGGCAAAAGTATGCACTGAAATAAATAAAAAATTTGGTGTAGTTTTCAAGGGATCGCATAAGCTGTATCGCTCATCTATCTCGAGTACAGTTACCTACGAAGCAGCCAGATTTGGCATACAGGTTGTATAACATGTTTTTAACAAACAAGCTTATCACATGTTTCTATTACATATCTTTAATCATTACAGTCCATGCATGGACTCCAGCACAAGAGGAAATTAGAAAGTAGCCTAGTAATTTACTTTAAGGCACGCCTCCCAGAACAAAGCCGCTGCTTACTGCAAAGAATTCAACAACATATAAAAAAGATCTCAACCCAAATAAAGCATGAGATTGACAACAGTATGATACATGTTATCCATAGCGCACCCAGCAATCTTAATGTCATAGCTTTCAGCTTGTTGGCGATTCACGTATTTCCTAATATTTAAGAAAGTTGAAGTTACTCCTTTGAAGCAACCTCGTGTAGATCCATCTGCTTCCTGCCTACTCTGGGCGGCCGAGCGGTAAAGTCGCTGAACACTGGTAGTTCGGTCTGAGGTTCGAATCCCGCGAACGGGCTGGCTGCATGGGCGTTTTCGTGGTTTTCCCCATGTGTAACGTGTATACGAGCCAGTTTCCCTTAGAAAGTCCTCCACGAAGGCATCCCTCCCCTTAGGCAGATAGCCCTAGTGTGCTTTGCCATAATTAAATACATACATACATACATACCTGCCTACTCTGGACAAATTGCTCGAAAGAGTAGTATTACAAAGACTCGATCATTTTATCAATATCAGGAGCTTAACGAATGAGCAAATATATGGCTTAAGAGCTGGTTTTTCCATTAAACATGTTTTCAATAATTAAAATTCTATAAATACATGTAAGCAATAGGACAATTTGCATACTTTCATCGTCTCTGTCGATATACAAGCAGACTTCTACTGAATAAACTGCAGAATATAGGATGCTTTAAGGTCTCTTTGATCTTATGCTTAGCTGCCTCAGTAATAAACATGTCCAAGTCACAATAAATGAAGGTATACATACGTAAAAAATTAACAAAGCGTGCCCTCAGGGATCTTCTTTAAGGGATTGTATGAAATATAGTATCGGTATCAGGATTTGCATTGTTTAATAAAAACAGATCCTTCAATATACTTGCCTGTGCAGATAATTCCTTGTAGTAGGCAGAAGGCGCAGCAGAAATCAGTACAAAAGGCATATATAGCACACTATGAATCTATTTGTCAACTAGGCGAAGGAACGAAAACTTGTCATTTCCGCATATAAAACACAAAGCATGTTAACATGCCCTGAAAAACAGCAGATACGTATGCCGTGCGTGAAAGCAGAAGGTTTAAAGCATAAAGACCGTCAAAGGTTATATTTAGGTTTTATCGTAGATGAAAGGCTTTCTTGGCACCAGCAAAGAAAAGTAAAAGAAAGACTACTTAAACTTTCTTAAGCGCTGATCAGAATTATCGCGGCTTAAATTTTGGTATTGTAGAGTTTTTGAACGCGAGGCCTTGCATGGGGCCTATATGGGGAGCTCCAGCATAATTTGGGCAGCCTATTTTTACAGAGCATCTCCCTCTGGGTATCGTACATCCCCAACTAGCTCTCTGAATGAGCTTGAGAGACTCCTCCCTTTCATCTAATTGTAGAACAAGGATGTGCAATAGTTCGCGCACTGTAATTTAAAAAAGACTCAAACTTTTAGAATAAGATACGTTGACAGTGATTACATACCAGGTGTTGTATTGTTACCTTGTTTCGTGGCAGAGTTCAAAGTCACAGTCGAATGTAAGCTTCTCATTGCTCCAGTACCAAATGCTTTATAGACTGATAGCTCCAAAGGTGAGCACGGCATCGACGGTAGATAATGTAAACTACACTGGGATATTACGGCTCGTACTTGGGCTCGCGCACTGAGTTCCAGAAACTCAGTTTTCCAAGCCGAGCTGGTTGCCTTGAGAGTGGCAATACAATTCAGTATCAAATTAATATATAGCACAGAAATTTGCATGGACTCAGTTTCGAGTATGAAGACTATACAAGGCTCGCGCTGCAAAACCAAAATTGTCAGAGACATTCAGAACATTCTGTTTTCTATTCCAAAAGACGCTAGTCAAAACCTCCATCAGGTTCTCGCATATGTGGGAATTATCGGTAACGAAAGTGGCGACGCACTTGCCAAAGCGGAAGCTATAATTCTTAACGTAAGGGTAATGCACATACTATCTTCCGGGATTACATACAAAAGCAACCACGAGAATACAACTTATACGGCAATGGCAACATAACTGGAACGAGGTCAACGCCGGACGTAAAGTGCGTAAATACTTACCAAAAATAAGTATGAAGCTTAACAGTGAAGTCCTGTGAGACAGTTTCTCACAGGACACACTGTCTCAGTCCTTTTTGGCTTTAGAGATAGTGATCTTTGCATATGCTGAGCGGCCGATCACACCGACCACTCCAACTGCTTGGAGATAATCAGAAACAATTTACGGAAACTTGCCGTCGGGAACAGTCATGAATGAGCCAATAACACCTGTAGCAATCATTTTGCAATAAAAATAAGGGAAAGCACACAATTACTGTTTCCATTTCAAGGAGACTGGAAGAATAATACGTAAGCTTAGCACCGCTAACTGAATTGCACTTAGTTTTATCTGCAGATTTACAGAATACTGTTCATTATAAATATTTTGCGTATATTTGTTATTGTAAATATGATTATAGTCAAAGCATGTGGTAGATAAAGCGAAATACATCCATTGCTAATGTTTACATATTTTAATATATAATTGTCATTTGTGATGATTTTCTTATTTTATAATTTAGTAACTGACTGTATGCCCATTGAACATACTATCACTGCAAAAGCTGTTAATTGCACACTGTGTTTTGAATGTTCCTTTTCCAATGCATACCTGTCAAGAGTAACTGAAAGTTTTCCAATGCCTACTTGTCAAGTGTAATTGAAAGTTTTCCAATGTAATATTATCGCTGTAAGGAACTGTTAATTGTATAAGAGTTTTAATGTTCATGTTATAGAGTCTGCTTGTCAACAGTAACAAGATTTCATCCCTTGTAGTTTAGAACTTGAATATATATCAATGTATGTGCTGTAAACAATGAAAAAGGCTCTAATTTCGTGCATCATCAGCATTTTGCAACTTTTTTTAAGGGACATAACCCCAAACTAGCTGTGAAATTTACTTGCATACCCCTTAATTAATAAACGAAAACATTGCTGAAAAGCCGACTAATTAATTTAATAATTTGTTCTATAAGGTGTTTCTCCCGCCTTCTTGGCATGCCTTCGTGGTGTGGTGGTCTGCACGCTGGGCGCGTGTTCCAGAGGTCCGTGGTTCGATTCCCGGCGAAAGAGCTTGCTTATATTTCATCTTGCCTGCTTCCAAAAGATTCTAATGTCTCTACAGTGGCGCCCGAACTAAAACGGTGTTGGATGATGATTTTCCACACCCAGAATTTGGCGATTGGGTCCCCTAAAACCCCAGTCGCCCTTTAAAAGGGGGAGTATATAAGGTATTTTTCCCGCCTTCTTGGCATGACTTCGTGGTGTAGTGGTCTGCACGCTCTCCGCTTATTCCAGAGTTCCACGGTTCGATTCCAGGCTAAGGCGTTGCTAAGTTTTCATTTTTCCTGCTTCCAAAATAGCTAATGTCTCTACAGTTCTACAAATTTGATATTGTAACTTCATGTCAAGAAAAATAGGATCCTAATTTTTAATTAAGACAGTTATTATAAGTTATTTATGGTCCTAAGTAGCAAGTTTGTTAGATATTTCTAAAGAGAAATACAACATGTATACGATGAAATAGAAGAAATTAATAGCACAAAGGACGATAATAATAAACTTTCAATTTCTGAACTGTTCTTCGAATTTCCTTCAGTATTTTAAGTTAAATATTTATCTTCCACATATTGTTTAAGTAATCATAGCAAACGACATTTTGAATATTAGCAAATTTAATTTATAACACGTGTTTACTTGTGCCAATAGCGCACCTTTCACTTAAGACAAAGGCTATCAGAATGAAGACAAGGCTAAGACAAATGAAGACAAGGCTACTAAGACAAAGGCTATCAGAATGAAGATACACACTTTTAACAAGAAATTGATATTTTAGTACGATCAGTGGAATAAAAATATATAGTTAAATCATTTTTAATTTTACACACAGTAGTTTGAACTTGAATACGGTTTATTCTCCTTGACATAAATTCAATTAACCAAAACGGGAGGAAGGGATTCTTTCTGCACCAAATCTGTTTCAATATATGGGCACTTCCCCTTACACCTTCAGACCCCGCTACATTCCTGTAACTGCTATTAATATTAATTTATATCTTCTAAACTGAAACACTACCGAACACTAAGAAATATTCGCCGAAGCCTCAGCTCGGCAACTGTTAGGCGATTTCACGAAAGGAATAGCTTTCCTACTGCTCTGCATGTATGCTATTTACACTCTAGTGAGCTTGATGGAAGAAACAGAAGCTGTAGGGAAAAGTTAACGTAAAAATAACGAATGAATTAAATAAAATTATCTTTACAAATTTATTGCTCAAATTATTTGTAAACTTTGTATGATTATTTATTTCACAATACGATCTCCGTCCTCTTTTTTTCCAGAACTGTGGGCTCTTATCAACAATGCCGGTGTCTGTGTGTACGGCGAATTCGAATGGCAGACGTGGAATCAATGCCAGAAGCAAGTCGAAGTGAATCTTCTGGGAACTATGCGCCTCACGAAAGCCTTTTTGCCGCTGCTCAGGAAAAGTAAAGGTTCGTTTCACACTATTTGTTTAAGTCAAATGTTGTTTTCTTTGTCCAATTTCATACAAATAAGTTATGGTACAGCATAATAAATATACAATATGCAATATAACAATGAAAAAAGGGAAGTCAAAGAAATTATAATAATTCAGTGAAAATAAAAATTAGGAACTTAAATTTAAGTTCAGAACGAAATCCTGAAAAGCGGAAATCTTCTCTTCAGTTCGTAAAATTTTTGACAGTCCAGTCGATTTTCTTAAAATTTTTACATATACGAGGTACGACAGTAAAATAACGAGAATTAAATTATAACTCCAAAAATCACAACACTAGCCGCCAACCCATATGGGCGTAGCCTTCGTAGCCCAAAGCACGTACATCGCAGTATACGCCTACCAAGTGGCGTGACGGTAGTGATGGTCGAGAATATTTCGATACTTGTTGTTTGGGTACGCAAAGAGTTCGCCACTTCGAACTGCAACAAGCAGATGCATTGACAGTGCAATAACACTGATACCATAACCGTCGTTTGCACACCTGTAGCTGAAGAAAAATGTTCTATACAGTCAAAAGTCGTTAATTCGGACACCCGTAATACGGAATGATCTATAATCCGGACCTCAAAGCTAAAATCTTTCTGCGCATGCGCCGCATTGACGCATGCGCATAGGCGTTTTACTCGTGCGCGCAAGACATTTACGACTGCGCATATGCGTCTGCGCAAGTGCAGAATACGTTTTCGCGTGCGCGTTTAATGTATAACGAACGGTATAAGCTAAAATTATCTAATTATCTATTTCAGTTAATGTTGATAATTGCGTTGTTCCTTATTCTTCGAATTGGATCCGGCTTATTATTTTTTGCAGACTGTAAGAGCAATTTTCTAAAAGTAAGCTTGAACTTTCGATTATGTCAAATAGAATTTCCGATGCTGGAGCTCCCAAAGGATCTAGAAAACGAAAGTATGTTTCGATGTCCATCAAACAAAAACGAATTGCTACAAAAAATGGATAAAAGCATATCCTTTGTTTATCTAACCGTTCCGAAATCTGTTTATCAATTTCATGCTGCTCTGCGCGGGGGGGGGGGGACGTCGCGGCGCGCAATGAACTGGAAGTTGATCTGTCAACACTATCGTTATCTTCAGGGCAGATGTTTTTATTTTATTCGGCTTATAATTCCTTACTAAATGTAGTATTTAATTTCGATGTACTCCGTCTTTATACGATTTAAATCAAATTCCTCGTCATTATAAATATCACGAATACAAATCAAATAGTTTTCTGGTTGCAATTTTCTAATTTCGGCTATGCGTAAGGTATGCTTTACGCATCCGCGCGTTGAAAGAAATGTTAATAAAGTAAACAAATAAAATATTAGGCTTCTTTTTTGGTAAAATTTTGATACCCTTTAGATCATAATTGCTCATTATTTTATAAATTACGGTTTCATATTTTTAATTTTATAATTTCTGCATGCTATCTTACCAGATTTAAACTGATGATCTATAATCCGGAAAAATCGATAATCCGGAATCGCCGAAGTCCCGACGAGTCCGGATTAAAGACTTTTGACTGTATTTAAATCTTTAAAGCTAGTCCTGCAAATTAATGAATATTGTGCTGATTGTCGTTGCCTTACCACGCTCCAGTTATCGTTATTCAACATGGACGCTGGAAATAGAAGAGAGGTCCAAACTGATTTTTCCCATGAACTGCCTTGAAGCAGTGGCGCACCTTTTGGAGACGAAAACATTCAATGACTTGCCATTAAGATCAGTAGTTTTTGATATGATCGGAGATAAATATTTTGTAATTACATCGTAAATATAAGTATAAATGTGTATGTTTCTTTTGCTACAATATTTCAGAATCCTAAGTATGTGAGAGAATACATTTTGAAAGAAACATTTCCTTCTGAACATAGTATACTTTTCCCAGAACAGATTTAATTCGAATAAAATGTTTTCACTAATTGCATTAGAAAGAAATTTTAAGGTAATTCGATTTTATTTGGTTAATGATAAATTAAAATCAAAGTTTATTGTATTATTAACATTAAAATTACACGTTATTTCTTTTCTACTTACACAGTTTCTTTCTGAAATCTTTTCTCAAATACGAGATATTTTTTAGCTTCTGAGGTGTCTTTTAAATAAAAAATCGTAGTCACGTTATTACTAATGCTCTGTTTGGTTCATTTTCGAATTGAAGCACCTTTAATTTTAATAGTGAAATACATTAATATTGCTGCTGATTTCCATATATTAAACTTTCTATGAGTATTTTTGAAAGAGATTAAAAAAAATAAGGTGTTTTGTTTTAATATTATTTAAAATTTGTAACAAAGTTATTATAAAAATGTAAGGAAATAATTCTTTTAATACTTATCAAATTTCATTATTACTCTTTATTTCATCAATATACATTCTAAAAATTCTACTTTACTACTTCCTTAAGTATACGCGTCTCATAGACTGTGCTTTACACCTTTTTATTCATTGTTTTCAGTACGAACAATTCTCGTTTAATAGTTTTAAAAAATACATTTGTCAAGAGAATTTCAATTTATGTTTAAAATTAAATGTTGAGGTTATAATATACTTAGATAATATTTATAATAATTATAAATTTAAATGTATTTAATAATAATAATAATGTAATTAGATTATTTCTTCATAGTAAACACTCACATGACTTTAAGCATGAATAAATCTTTCATTTCCAGATACATTAATAAATAATTTAATAAATATTTAAGCATTTTGTTTAAGGCAAATACATGCTTTTTACAAGGATATGCATACATACCCTCCGCACGTGCAAATCTTTAAGGGGTATTAGAAACCCCTATTCCGACAATGTTAAATTGGCCCTATTCGATGTACCTTTTCTCAAAATCTGCTGTAGATACAAGCTTGAAATTTTTTCTGTAATTAAAGTATACCTATCTGATTATACTGAAATGAGCTTTTGAAACATTTTGAATTTTAAAGTAAATTACAGAATACTTTTTTAGGTATAGTAAAATTTAGCACTTTTCTCACACAATTTTTTTTTTTTTTTAATTACAAAAAGCTCATTTCAGTAAATATTAGGGAACCTAATAAATAAGCCATAAAACGTTTAGATACCTGTGAGCAGTAGTTCCTGAGAAAATGTACATCGAGTATAAAAAAATCCCATTTGGAGAAAAACGCGTTTTTGTGTAAAAATCCTCATTGGTCAAAGCAGTAGATGACAAATTAAAACTAGGTTTTGTTACAGTTCTAATTGTCATAGAGATTAAAGAATGGTATTTTTAGAAAGACAAAAGTGTAGAGAATTTGAAAATGCAAAAATCCGAAATCACAATTTTTTGAAGATTTTGGGGTTCCAACACCCCTTAATGTCTGTGCATTCACTATATTTTTCGAGCGAAGTAATTTACAATAATTTAGCATATATCATAATTTTTTGCATAGGATATATATATATATATATATATATATATATAAATTGAACGAAAATTGCATGCATTATTTTTATTACGCACTCGAACTTTCCTTCAGGTAGCCCTTACATACTTTACCCTATTTAAAGAATTTAACAGACCTACTATGTGCCTAATTACAAACATTTTAACATGCATAATTTTATATTTGTAGTTAGACATCGAAGTTTCAAACTTTTGACTTGAAACACATTTTTAGATACCATATGAGGTATTTCTCCCGCTTTCCTAGCATGCCTTAGTAGTGTGGTGGTCTGCACGGTGGGCGCGTATTCCAGAGGTCCGTGGTTCGATTCCCGGGAAGAGCATTGCTCAATTTTCATCTGCTTCCAAAAAACATAATGACTCTACAACCTTTCTTATAAAATTCAAATTTTCTAGTAAATGTATTTTGGCAAAGCATTCAATACCTCTCTTAGCAACTTTACCCAGTTTAATACTTCTTTGATAACATAATAAATAACAGCTATCCATTTTACATTTAAACATTAATCTCACTATCATCAGATCGCTATCTTGATTGCCTTACTCTGCACACCAACATTGCTTCATTTTCTAAGCAGTTAAAACAAGTAATTGATCTAAATTCACTAGTACTTTATAAAGTCTAGTTAATTTATGTGCCTTTGGTTACTAGAACTTTTATGGGAGTGTCTAGCGACTATTCGCTTGTCTCTTTACAGTTATACAAGTATAACTCCAAAGAAGGGATAAAATACTCTTTTGCTCACGCAAAGAAACATTCACAGAGAGATTACAGATTTTGTTCACTTCACAGGTTTTGTTCACTTCTGGGCTTACAAGAAAGCCTCCACTTGGGTTTTACCTTAAGATGGAAAATGAGAAACTAAACTAATTCTAACTAGCTAAACTTTAGCCGAAGCTATACAAACATAACTAACCGAGTTGGCCCGTAATTAAACCTCACCGGCGAATGCTAAAGGGCCGTTCCCACTGGGGTTTATCTGAGCTAACGAAGACAACTAACGTAGCCTACCCATCTCCAAAACCAGTTTTTCCTCATTGGGCAGCGAGTTGAAAAATTTGAACTGCAGGTATAGAGGAGCTAGTTGGCACAGGTAACTGACTCAGATAATCTCCTGAGATTTATATATTGCAAGGAAATCCAAAATGTAACAATATGCAAAATGTATTGATATACTTGTTAATAACATCGACATCACCCTATTTTCAGATTCCTAATAAGCTGTTATGAGGACGTGGCACGATCACATCACCTTAACTCTGTTTGCAATGTTACACAATATATGGTTACAAATGAAGGAAAAGTTAACTTATTAGCATATCAATCTATATATTTATTAATTTTAACGATGATTACAGGATTTAGAGGTAATTTCATTTTTCAATTAAGATAACTCAAAGCGATTATTTCTCAATTACGTAAAAATAAAATGATGAGTTTAAAATGAGCAACTATTATGCGTCTTCCCTAAAAATTTTTAAACTGCATATTACAGTATTATGTGGATGATGAAGAATGTATTTTATTTAAC